TATTATTATTATTATTATTATTATTACCACCTAAATAAATAAGTAATTAATACAGTATATAAATTATTAACAGTAATAAACTTCTGGGTTTTTATTAATAGCTGGTGGTACAAATTTAGTGTGACAAGCTGACTGTCTCTTTAAATTATTTAAAAATTGTGTTGTTTGTTTGCAAAAGTACTTACACGCTTTTGCTAGCTAATTTCCCTTTTGAATCTGAAAAGTCTTGTAGTTGAAATATTTCTAGTAACATCACTGTGACTTATGTCAGTGAAACTGCTATTTCTGGTAGCTTTTCTTTGAACTGTGTCTTCAGACTATTGCTTAGAAAGTAAAACTTTACTACTTCAAAATAAACACTAAGACCATTTTTCTTCACTCAGAAGAATATGTACTTATAGTCTGACCTTCTGCTTCAGAAAACTTACTATGATGTCTGTAATATTTTGAAAGACAGCTTATGGGGTATTTCCAGCATATGTTGCTCTTACGGACCAAATAGTTTGGCTTTCAGTGTACAGGTTTTCAAGGAAGAGTCTGATTGTCTAAATTCTCTGAAGTTTTGTATAAAATGAGTAATTGCTAGAGAAACTAATCTTTGCTTTTCCAAGGGTAAAGATTTAGTGTCCTTAACAAATCAGAGGGATAGTAGCAGTGATAAAAATCTTAATACTTTTCTTTATCTATAATAAGCATCTTCTAACTCTTGTAGTTTCTTGGAATACTGTGTGATGTAATCCTTTTGAACCAATTGTTGGTGGTTCTCGGTCTAAGACCGGTGCCTAAACAGAAGTTAAAAAGCTATCTGAAGCTGACTACTCAGTGTTCTCTTACTTCTAGTCAAAGCCTTATCCTTCCTTAAGGAGAGGTTTACTCTATCCATCTGTCCAAGCAGATTTGCTAGACAGCCCATACTGAATTTCAGAGCATCAGCTCTGTCTTGGAAAATAAATTGACCTGTCTCTTTTACGTTCTTCATATCAGTGTCATAATTGTCTTGTATCCCAAAACTGTAATACATGTCACTCATGCCATGCTTAGATCTTTAGTATTTAACTTCACATTTCTTCTCCCTTCTTCACTACCTAATTTTTTTTTATTTCCAGCATTCTTTAATGTACCTGTGGTTAGCACACAAGTTCTCTTACATACTAGTGAAGTACTTAGTACATATTGCATTGGGTGAGCTATTAGGTGTTCTGAAGGTGCCACAGATCTATGGGTGTAAATTGGATACAAGTACTTGCAGTTGACTTTCTGCTGTGGTATATGTTTTACTTTCTAGCTAAGAATCTCATTTTTACAGCAGGAGTTAGGACCTATGTGCTGTCTGAATCAGTGTTATTCAGATGCTGCTGCATGGCCTGATGGCTTCAGAGTTATAGAACTATGCAAGAGACTTGTCCTATTAATACAGGAATATTCAGAATAAGAACTGAGCTAAGATTTCAAGTAGAAACAGGAAGCTGTTATAAGACTGATCTGACACTTGCATGTTCCAAAGCAAGATGGTGCCTACAACCTAACTTGTTTCTTCATCCCCTGATAAGATCAGAGGTAGAGATAAAATCAGAATATTCAGCTTGTTCACTGCTATTTATAAATGTCTTCTGAGCAATATTTAACATGTGAAAATGCATTCCACTTTAGAATTAAAGAGTAGATTTTGTCCAACAGAAGTCTTCATTCATTTTTAAACTAAAGTTTTAAGTTTCAGATTTCTAAGAATATAAAACATTATCCTGATTCTGCAGTGCTTTAGATTTTTCTTCCTGATTTTGTGTAAAATGATAGGAGTTTTGTTTTATATCTTATCCAAGCTTTTCCACTAGTAAAAGAAGTCTTCAGCTCTTCTTTAGTTAATTCTAGTATATCTTTGTCTAGTAATATGGAACAACTAGGAGCTCACACCATGTTCTCTTCGATACAGCCACATTAGCAAAACTTTCTATTGTGGAGTCTGTGCTAAATGGTAGAGTTATCTGTTAGAAAAATGTTCTGGTCTTTGATCAGTATTTTGGCTAACAGTTTGAGATTAATAATACGGATTATCTGATTGCTGTTTTTGAAAATGTCTATAGGACTTAGACAATGCAAAATACATTCTGCTAATGTGGCTTTCCTGACTTTAGAGTCACAACAGATTCAGCGTTCCGGATATCTCTGAAACCAAAGGTCAGTGATAGTATGACTCATTTGATGGTGGACTTCGCTCTGGAAAGGCGTATGCTCCAGGCTTTAAAGTTTTTGCCAGGTAAAAACTGTATGCAATAAGTTTAATTTGTTACTACATTAATAAATTATTCTATTTTAAAAAAACAGACCAAACCAAACAAACGAAAGAAAACCATACCTCTTGTACCCTCGCGAGCAAATTTTTCAAAGTACTAAAATCATTCTTACTCATTGAATGTTAAGCTGAATACCTTGAGGGTAAAAGACTTTTCTAGTTTTATTGTGTTAATTTCTACCTAATAGAGCATTTCAGAAAGTAGCATTGAGCTCAGAAGTGAGAATGAGTCTTTCAGACTGTGTTTTTTCTTGAGTTGTCAGTTCCTCTGTACTATTGGAAGTTATCTTAAGTTTCTCAAGACTGTACCTGCTAGCCTGATATTTAGTGACGCTCTGAAGTCCTAGTCATCTGCAGTAGTGTTATGCATGGAACTGTAAGCTAATATGTTGCTTAAAAGAAGGTTGATATAGTCTGAAATGCAAGAGAGGGGTGATCTACTAGAGCAGTGATATTACCATAATACAAAATGTGTACTGATGCATCTGTTTGTTACTGTTTGAAAGAAAACTTAGGTGCAGCATTCCAGTATATATCTTTCATGTCCTTGTATTCATATTGCTTTCCTATTTGAACCACTTTGTCCTTGACTGATACCAAGAACATATTGACAAGAATACTGGTGGCAGGAGTGTAAATTGTTTCATCTCTAGGTCACTAATCCCAATATGTTAAGGACTTGGCAGCATCAGTTTACATTTCTGCTCATTAATCTTGTATGCTGTAGATACAGTATGTGGTAACAGGTGTGGTAAATTACTGACATTACTCCTAGTGGATAGCTACCAGTGTCTAGGCAGAAATTCACATTTTAGTCTTAGACTCTGAGTGGCAATCACTGCTCTGTATTTCATCAATAAAGGAACAAGCTTGATAGGCTGATCACAGTGCACTTGTTTAAAAGGAATGGGAGTGTTAAGGTCTAACAGCAAGCATGAACAGAGTCTTGTATCTAGGTGAAGATACTATTTCATATGGCCCTTCTTATACATGCATTTTTCTTATCTGATACATAGGAATTTAAATTGTTTGGGCCTTTGATTTGTTAACAGAAAAATTAACTATCAGTCTTGCTTTCTTTTACTGTAGTGCCAAGCTATCAAATTACTCTGACACAAATACTGGTAGCTGAAACTGTTGCTGAAGAAATTGTACTGAGCATTGATAGGCATTCATACGACAGGAAATCCTGATGTAGGAAGTGTGGAAAGTTGAAAACAAGTTTGGTTTTGTGGTAATGCAGGCATTTGAACACTGCTTGCCAGAATTATGCTGAAGACTTGATTGCTCCAAACATATGGAAGGCTCTTTATCTAATAGCTTATACCATGACAAAAATAAACACAAATCTGAAGTGTAGCACCATACGAGCCTCTGTCAAGCAAGGTAACTGACCCAACGAAAACCAGTATAGATTTGAATACTTTGGTTTTCAGTCTCTTCTGTGCAGCTTTTTAGTTCTCAAACATTTTAGACCTATACGACCAGTTTCAGTGTAATTCCTGCTTAGTTTAAACTGCAGGGATGTGAGGGAGAAAAAAGTGTGTTTCAGTAGTTCTAGGTGGAAATATTTGAACAGATCACGACAGGAAGGTGTGAAGTCACAGAACATCACACAAAACATGGTGGGATTGTTGACGGGGTCGCAATCACAACAAGAAAACTTATCTATGCAGTTGCAGATAAGCAGGCACTTCTTTATTGCAGCACTGGGGAAACACAGAGGGTAGCTCCTCTAATTGTGCTCCAACACCCATACATTTTCACAGTCTGTTTGTACATTTTTAACAAAGCGAAATTATACAAGCATGCATAAAATATCCGCCTTTTAATTTGCCCTTTACCTTGATTGGTTCCTCACTATCATGCCATATAAGACATTGAATTATTTCAAAAGCTTACCCCTATATAATTTTGACATGGAGAGAAAAGAAAAGTTATGGCCTACTGTTATGATTGTCTGACCACAGCTATTATCCTGTATGCTATTGTTTAATTCTTATCATAAGTATTTTTCTCTTGAACATGGTACGTACCTCCTCTAAGTACTTATACAAACAAATACTTATTCTTGCTACTTCATCATCAACCTACTTTAATTACCTTGATCGGTCAAAGTGTTCTTTTAACTCTACAGCTTAAACACATATCTACCCATTTTAATCAACCAAAATTTTCTCTTGACTGCAACAGGATGACTTTCATGACTGGAGTGCTGCTCTTCAGAAGGGGATAGGCAAGGAAGGAGAGGTGGTAGCTTTGTATGTTAGGAAGTGTTCTGATTGTGTAGAGCTCAACAGTTGTGAAGATAAGGTTGAGTGCTTATGGTAAGGATGAGGGGGAAGACCAATAAGGCAGATATCCTACTGGGAGTCTGTTATAGACCACCCAACCAGACTGAAGAGGCACATGAAGCATTTTACAAGCAGTTGGCAGAAGTCTCACATACTTTTTGTTTTGTGAAATGAATGTTAAGTGAAAATGATATGATTAGTCTTCCGTTGTGCTTTGCTAATGGACTAGATCCTTTAAAAGGCATGTGTTACTGGGCCAAGGGCAGGTTCTGAACCCTATAAATCAAAGGAGAACAAATTAATATTCACTCGATTCTCTTCTTAACTGATGTTTATATTTGTCTTTCTGCAGTCCCTAAAGCTCCAGAGATAGATCTAGCAGCCTGTGTGGTGGCTGATAACTGTATAACAGTATCATGGAGAATGCCTGAAGAAGACAGCAGAATTGATCATTTTGTATTGGAATACAGGAAAACCAACTTTGATGGGCTTCCTCGAGTGAAAGGTGAACAGCGTTGGGAACTGATAGACTATATTAAAGCTACTGAGTATACACTATCAGGTAAAGGTTTTTTATCCTTCAAAACCAAGAATATTGATAAAATTCTTTATACTTGGAAGTTTTGCAAAATATGTGTTTTTCTGCATGTAATGAAGCTTCCATTGTTTCACGTGAGTCTTGGGTGCTTTGTGCAATAAATAGCTCTGCCTTTTATTTTGACTTTTTTGGTAAAAAAAACATGTTAAATGAAGTTCACATTGATATTTTAGCTTGTTTTTTACAGACTAAAATAAATGGAAGACAGCTACATGGAATAGATTTTAGTCTTGTAAAAATTGTCAGTAATTAATCTCAATTTGAGTTTCTAAACATTCACTTTTAGGTCTGAAATTTGATACAAAATACATGAATCTTAGAGTACAAGCTTGCAACAAGGCTGTGGCAGGGGAATATTCTGATCCTGTGACTCTGGAAACCAAAGGTAAGATTTGAAAGACACTAACTTTAGATGTAATGAAAACCCTTACTGTCCTGCAGTCATATAGAAAATTGTATGTTCAGTCTGTTTCTGTATGAGCACTGCTGAAAATGTGCCATTAACTGAAAAGGTAAACAACCATTTCTGTAAAGGATTAAGAAGCTTATTGATACAAAGCTGGCCTTTTAGCATTTAGGCAAAAAAATTAGGTAGTGATGTAACTTTCTCCAGCAGAGCTTGACATGGGTATTTATGATCTGTGGGTTGACAGTATTATGTGCTGCTACATCATGCCAGCATGTAGCGAGAGAAGATGAACATTGTGGCTGAGCATCAGTAGGACTCTTAGGGCATCTAAACAGTTAGTGTGTAGTTGGCTGGTCATTGGTATTCAGTATGTGACAGGTAATAGCTTTCTGTAAATGGAAGGTCCTGAAAAGGATTTTTTTGACTTTGTAGTTGTAGATTCTAGTCCCTGTCAATACTTAAATATAGGCAGCTCCATATTGGTAAAGTTATTAAGTCATTGTGTTAGAGATCAGTTGGTCTGAGGATGGTGGCTTCCTAACATTGTTTTGTAAATAAACTGGAAAAAAAATTTTGTTGTAGTGATGTTTTGTGATGGAAATAATGGTCCTGAGGCTTTAATTATAGCAAAGTCTGTAGTGTGAAGGGCAAAATGACTGATATGCACTGGATAATTAAAATATATATTCTGTTACTTGTGCACGTTACTTCGTAAAAACAAAGCTATATGCAATTTGAATGAGCTGATGTGCCTTCTGGTAACTTTTCTAAAACACTTTAATATTCTCAAGTAACAGTTGGATACATAGTATCCATTTAATAGCCACTTACATTCCTTATTCCATTACCAGAAAAATAATTCTGATTTTTATTTTTTTGAGCAGTTATCATGCTTCCCATATTATTTTTGTTATTTCTATGTGAACATTTAGTTTACTTTCTTCAATCATCAGCCCATGGAAACTCAGTATCCTTGTCCATATGCTTACTGTTTTTAGACTTGCTGAGCTCTAAACTCATCATCTTGAATATACTTTCTTTCACAATCAGAAAAATTAGGACACTTATGGAATAGTCTGTAAGTAAACATCTTTAGAAGACTTGGCATGTTGTATTAGTTTTGTTTTCTTCGATGAAAGACTTGGCTACAGCAAATACCAAGTCTCTTCTGGTGTCGTGTATCCTCTGCTGTTCCTGTGTCTGCAATTGACTTCACAATTCAACTTTGCCTGTATGTGCTACCCTGTCAGTTTAGTATTCTCCAGGTCTGCAGTCGTGGTGCTAAGAGAAGCTGTGTTTCAGTGCCAGTTACTTCTGAAATAGCTTGAACTTCTTCATTGCTGCTAATATCTCTCTTATAATTGGAGTGTTGTGGGCTTCTGATCCTCTGTATTTTCAACTCAAGTCCTAGTGGTCAACCTTGAGTTTTCCCTGGTCCTTTCTGTCAAAAACTCCAGGTGGGACTATTGTCTCCAGCTGCAGTGTAGAGCACATTTTTAACTCTGGTGCTGTTTGGACTGGTCCCAGAGTTACTGCATGAACAGTCTCCAGTTTAATTTATTCAAATGTCATTGTTCGGGACCCCATTTGAAATCACTCTTCTTCTGAGTCATGTGATGGAGTGAGCTTATTGTCTGGCTGTAGTTTGGAATGTGTTTTTTTTCAAAAACCTAAAGTCCCTAAGAAGGTTTGTCTCTCTTTTATTAGTTGGTGGAGGCACGGCCATTATCTTGTTGATTAATGTCCATTGGGATCTGGCATCTTGCCATTTTACTCCTAAGAACTGAATCTCTTGTGCAAGGCCCTTGACCTTTCTTTGTTTTATGGCAAAACCAGCTTCCAGAAGAATATGGATTATTTTCTTCCCTTTCTCATAAATTTCTGCTATGTTACCCCATATGATGACGTCGCCAATGTATTGCAAGTGTTCTGGAGCATTGCCCTTTTCCAGTGCAGTCTGGACCGGTCTGTAGCAAATAGTGGAACTATGTTTCCACCTCTGGGGCAATTGTTGCCAAGTGCACTGGACAGTTCTTCAGGTGTAAGCAAACTGTGGCCTGCGCTCTGCCACCAAAGGAATACAGAAAAAGGCATTAGCAATGTCAATTGTAGCTGCCTTTCACTCCAGTTCATACTTAAGTTCTATCATGTCTAGCATAGCAGCACTCAGCGGTGGTGTAACTTCATTAAGGCTTTCGCACTGGCCATAATGGCCATTAAAGAGTGAATGAGTTTTGCTAATCACCTCGTGACTCTCCAGTTGATGAATAGGGGTCAAAGAGTCTCTATTGGTGTGATACTGCTGACGATTCACTGCTGTAGTAGCAGTAGACCTTTTGTCCCTTGACCCTCTGCAGTTCAACAATAGAAGGGTCATCTGAGAGACCAGAGAGGTAGACAGCTGTTCAACATCATCAATTTCTACCACTACAGTACCAAATGCCTACTGGCACCTTTTTGGGTCTTTGAAATACCCTCTGCTAAGACATTCTATGCCACAAATGCACAGAGCATCTGGACCAGTCACAATAAGGTGCTTTTGCCACCCACTGCCAGTTAGGCTTATTTCAACTTCTAATACAGTCAGTTCTTGGGATCCCCCAGTCACTTCAGAAACAGAAATGGATTCTGTCCCTTTATAATTTGATGAAATTATTGTGTATTTTGCACTAGTGTCCACTAGAGCTTTATACTCCTTTGATTCTGATGTGCCAGGCCATTGAATTCATACAGTCTGATAAACATGGTTATCTCTCTCCTCCACCTGGCTGGAGGCAGGGCACCTCTAATACTGAGCACAAATGTACCTGCTATCAACAAATGGGTTAGTATTATGACCACTCCTAGAATTAGGATTAAAACCAGTTCTTCCACGTGTCTGGGGAACTGTTCACTGGAGACTGGAGCAGCAATTTGCTTGAAAGGACTTCCACTTGTGGTGGACTTTCCTTTCGGTTCATGTACCTGTTTCTCTTGGGTCAAGGTGGGTTTTCCCTCTCGCTTCCTCATGTATTCTCCATGGTCACACAAAAAAAACCCATAGGGTACCTTGTAAGGTGTAGCATCTCCCTTGAACAAATTTACCAGGAGAGTGTTTCTTCTTGATTGCTGAGATATGAGTCCATACTTTGTGGTGAGAAAAATCTATTATCGAGTCACTGGACCAGTTTCTCCGCAACTGAAACACAAGCTTTTATGAAGGAAAAGAGAATATAATCATCTTGGAGGAGATCAGTTACCTCATCACCTTTGGCAACCCTCCATCTTTCCCTTTGATTGCTGCCAATTAGTTGACCTATGATGCTGCTGCACCCTGTACAACCTTTCACCACATAGGTGGTTTACACTCAACTGTGTCTGGGTCTATGGTTTTCTGATGATCAATCTGGAAATCATAAATCAACTCTACCACAGCTAATTCCCTCAGGTACTGAATACCTTTATGGTAGGCCATTTAACCAGTGTACAGATAAGGTGGTCCTTGTAAGGAAATCTTATTCTCACAGCTACCAAAATCCACTTCCAGAGGCTCCAGCAGGGTCTTTCACCCATAGCAAGTGCCTTGTCAGTGCCTCCTTCCCTGGCAAGTAATACCAGTTGCCTGGTTTGTTTATTATCAGCTTCTATGCTATCAGCTTCATTGACCCAACCTCGTATCATCCAGGCAGTAATAGTATCACCTGGATGATAAGTAAAATTTTTTTGTACATTCTGCAGCAATTTTGTGGTTAAGCAGGTAGCAGTTATCTCCTTGGCTCTAGTTTCTTTTTTCTCTGGAAATGTTTCTAGGCGAGGCGTATCAGGATCTATCTCTTCTTGTGGCTGAATTCTAAACTCACCTGCCAATTCTGAAACAGTGCAGTCTTCCTGCTCCCTGGTGATGGGTCTCTCTCATTCATATACCTCCCTCATCCATTCCTGTGATGGCCCTTCTTTAACGTTGTCATACCCTGCGTGTATCTTCCTGCAACCTTCTCTCAAAATAAGTTGTTTCCTTATCTTCGACTCTTACTGCTGGGGCAGGAGTAGGAGCTGAAGCAGGAACAGGATCTGGAGCTGGATCAGGATCAGCATCAGGAGCTGTTTTCTGTGCCTTCTTTGCACGGGTGACTGATACCAGCACAGGTTGTTTTGCTGGTGTAGCTGCAACACCTTCTGATGAGGTCTGAGTAACCGTAGTACTCAGCACTTGGGTCTGCTTAGCTGGAGATTTTGTTGCATTGGCTGAGGCAGTCTTGACACCTTTTGCTTAGGTTTGGGTAGCCAGAGTTGCGGAGTGGTCCAGCAGGAGGTGGTCAAAGAATGGCTTGGTCACATGTTGGCTGATGAAAGGAAAGTCTAGTTGGTAACAATCGCCAGCAGGTGGAGCCAGAGGTTAAAAAAAAGCTTCCAAAACTAAGCCCAGAGATAAGGAAGCCTTAGTGTAAACATTGCATACCACAGAGCCGCAGAATGATAAACACCACCGCTACAACCAGGAATTGCAAACAAAATGTTACATAACACAACCCTAGGAACCAGTGCCACAGTTTTGAGAGCAAAATAGTCACCATTATGTCCCACTATTAAACTAGCACAATATACAGCCTAGTCAGAATCAGTATTTATCCCAGATTTTTGAGACACTTGGATTACAAGCCTACAGTTCTTCCAAATAAGCTATTTTAATTGGGTGCCAAATAAATCACTTTCTGCCCCATGTTGGGTGCCAAAAAGGACTGTTGTGGTTTAACCTGGCAAACATCCAAACACCACGAAAGTGCGCGTCCTCACTTGCCCCCTTCCTGGTGGGATGGGGGAGAGAATTGGGAGAGTAAAAATAAAATAACTCATCAGTTGAGATAAAGACTATTTAATAACTAAAACAACCCAAACTTAAATAATAATAATGCCAATTAACTGTAACAAGAGTAGGAGCAACGGTAATAAAGCAGTTAAAGTTATACTTAGCTCACAAACAACAAGCCGCTGGCCATAAGCCAACAACAGTGCAATAGGAGGGGTAAGCCTCAGGAACTGATACGGGCTGCCATCATGAAGGGAAGGGATCGAAGGGGCCGAAAAAGAAGCAGGAGGGGATGTGAAAGGGATGTGAAGGGGTCGTACCCTGCAAGCTCCCCAGTTAATAGTGAGTGTGACTTTAACGGGACAGAATACATCTGTACTGGTCATCTTGGATCAGACCTGGACCATCTGTCCTGGATCACCTATCCCAGAGAGCCTCTGGGCTCTTGCTTTCCCTGCCTTTTCTCTTGTGCAGAGAGAAGAAAAAAACTAAAAGAAACTGTAACCACAGGTGCAGGCAGAACCTTGAGGAAACAGATACATGCCAGCAAAATTAAAACAATAACCTTTATCAACTTCATAACAAGAAGAATTCTGTTCGGGCCAAAGCTCATTAAAGCTGAAGGCCTTCTGTCTGAAAAATCCAGTTCTGGCTGAAGCATTAAAAGGGATTCTACAATTCAGTCCCAGCAAAACCAGGACAACCATAAACACTTTGTTGGAGAATGAGTGCTGCAGAGTGTGGAAAATGAGCATACTTTTTAAAATCATTCATGATTGTAAGAATGTAGGGAGTAAGCTGTATCTAGGAGAAAGCACTAGCTGAGTTTAATTACTGATACTGCTGCATTATAAAGATGAAAAAACTTACTTTGATGTAATGTCTACCTTCAGCATATACAGTTGGGATTTATTTAAAAGGGCTCCTTACTTTGATTACAAGCTTTATACTAAAGCTGATGATTCTATGAAGTTGAATAGTGCTCTGTTACAATTTCACTACTGCTTCTATAGTTTTATAGGAATAGCCACTGTTGGGAGAGAGCATTATACCATGTCAGTGTTTTGCATTTTGTCTTTACCAGCATTTGTGTTCAGTTTGGACAGTACTTCATCTCATCTGAACTTGAAAGTTGAAGATACCTATGTTGAATGGGATCCTACTGGAGGCAAAGGCCAAGAAAAAGTAAAAGGAAAGGAAAACAAAAGCAGGTCAGAACTGTTTTGTAAATGTTTACATTGTCTGTGATGTCTTACCTAGCAATTAAGGGAAGAGCAGAGAATAAAAATACTTGAAGACGGTGAGACACCAAAACAATTTTCACTCAGAAATCTCTTTCTAGGATAAATTTTAATATTTTTTTCTTTATTTCCCTTCCCTGTCACACAGATGTGTAGGCTATTTATGGAAGCTATTAGGAATGCATCTTAATCATTAAATAGAGTTTAAGTCTTTTAAAATACATTTATTAAGGTGTCATTCAAGGTACTAAAATAATTTGTAGATGTGGTGGGCTGACCTTTGCTAGCCACCAGGTGCCCATCAAGCTGTTTTATTGCTTCTCCTCCTCCACTGGACAGTGGGAGAGAAAATACGTTAAAAGGCTTGTGGGTTGAGATAAGGACAGGGAGATCCCTCTGCAATTACTGTCACAGGCAAAACAGACTTGACTTGGGGAAATTTCAACTAGTTCACTCCCGATCAAGTGACTCTGCCTGTCAGAGTAGGATAATGAGAAATAAGAACAAATCTCAAAACACCTTCCCCCCCACCACCCCCTTTTGCCCACTTTCCACTTCACTTCCAACTTCTCTACCTCCTCCCCTCCAGCAGCACAGGAGGATGCAGAATGAGGGTTGTGGTTAGTTCATCATACTTTGTCTCTGCAGCTCCTTCTTTCTCATGCTTTTCTGCTCCAGTCTGGGGCCCCACGCATGGGAGACAGTCCTTCACAAACTGCTCTAGCATGGGTCCTTACCATGGGGTGCAGTCCTTCAGGAACAGACTGCTCTGGCATGAGTCCCCCATGGGGCCACAGGTCCTTCCAGCAAACCTGCTCCAGCATGCAGGAAGGAGGTTCTAATGAGCCCTGACCATGACACAGGACTTCAGGCTCAGTCCAACAAGTGTCCAATCAAGAGCAACAGTCACTTGCCTTGGCCACCTCATTGTTCTCTTGCTGCTACAACCCAGTATATGGTCGGCCACCTCTGCCACAAGGGTGCAGTGTGTTGTCCACCTGTTGTCACTCCTGTTGTCCACCAAGACTCACAGCTGCTTTTCAGCAGAATTGCTCTTTCGTCAGTTGTCCTCCAGCCTGTTCTGTTGCGTGGGGTTCTCTCATCTGGAGAACACTATCCATAGCTTTGACCCTGGTGTTCAGCTGATTCTGTACACAGGTTATGGCCCACTACCCAGTCTGCATCTCACCTCTTGACATTTGGGGATTGTCTCCGTTTAAGGCTCAGGGCAAGCCCAGGGAGCAGGATTTTCTCTCTATTGTCCCCTACCCTCCCAGGGAAGGATTAAAAAAAAAAGGGAATAGAGAAAAAGATGCTTCACACAAGGTTGGAAGTTAAGACTGTAGCAAGTTTAATAAAAAACAATGGGGGGAAGGAAAAGGGAATTACTAAGGGACAAATGATATTTAACTATATACAGAACCCAATCCCAGTAGTCCTGAGTGGAAGTGTCCAAGCAGTGCCTCATGGCTGCTGTGACCGCTGTGACTCATCACCAGGGACTGCAGTGGTACCGAGAGCGGATGGTGGTGGATGCTGCCGAGCACGTGGAGGTAGCCCCAGCCATCCCAAGATGCGACAGGAAGCAGCCCAGGAAGCCAGGAAAAGCCCTGGAAACTTCGGGCCTCGGTTGGTTATAGACTGTGGCCAGAAAGGGGAGGGAACAGCACTGATCTCGGACCCCCCAGGGTCCTACAGACACCACCTGTCCTTCCCTTTCAGGCTGTTAACCCTTAAACCATAATAGGGATACTGTGTGGGAATGGGTCAAAAGCCTTGCTAAAGCCAGAGTGAGAACAGTGTCCATTGCTCTTACGTTGTCCACAGAACTGGCTCCTTCTTCCTCAAAGACAATTAATTTACTTTCAATATGCACTTTTTGGTATAATGGGCACTGCTTGAGATAATCTATGAACAAATACTTCCTTATGGGCATATAGTGCCAGAGGCATGGTAGGATATGTTTAAAGTGGCATCTTAAAAATTGGGATAATTTACTGTAGTAATAGAACAGTTGTTTAATGACTACTTATTTCTGTCGACAGTGGCCATAATCTTCTACTGAAGAGCAATAGAAGGTGACAATATATCTCTTATTCCTAGGACCTAGCACCTGGTTTTGCTGGAAGTCTATGCTACTTACCTTTGCTTGATGTAGTGAGAAATAAATCTAATAGCCTTTATCAGTAACAGTACACACATGCTTTAAAAAATTACTTAGAAGTTTAATTTGGATTCATAGAGATTACATATATATTTTCCAGTGACTAGAACAGAGTATTCCTGGAAGGATGTGTCCTAGTGTGTGGGAGACCTGACTTGCAACAGTTGGAAGAGTGTTATGTGTTCTATTGTTGATACAAAGATCCCTGTCATTTACAGATATATTGATGCTTACTTTGCCTTCTGGCACATAATGGCACGCTAAACTGTTTTTTAAAATTTTTATACCAAATATTTAATGTCATTATATGAACTGTTAAAGGCTGTTAGATTTTGAGTGGACAAAGCACATGCCGTGGCCATTTACAGAAGACTTAAAAAGTAAATGATACCAAGGACCTTTTAATGTCTTCCTAACTTTGAGAAATACTAGCAAAGGACCTGCATTTTTCTTATGGTGGTTCTCTAAATGGCCATACTGCTTTCTCCATAACTCATTATACTGAATCTACTAGAAAGATTTTAGCAGCTTTTGCTGGAAGTGTGAGTGAATGATCTCTGATGCACTTGAAGCAGGATGGAATCTACAAAGAGTGATGGTTCCCCCTGAAATTATGCTTTAATTTTTGGTTTTGCCATTTTTTTCATGCTAACACTTGTTACTTTTTTCTTTGGTAAGTAAACTACAGCTTCCTCCATGTTAACACAATTCAGAAGCATGTGATGTGTTGCACCTGCACAACATTCATGTAACTCTTGCAAGCAATTTAGAAGCTTAGTTGTCTTCTGATGAGTACTGCCAAATTTATATGGTAAACAGTGGTGGTAAAGTAGATGGCCTTGTTATTAGTGATTTCTTGTAGACTGCTGTAACTGGAATAAAACAATGACAAAAGTCATGAAGAGAAACCAGAGACTCTAGCATACTTACGTATTACAGCTTAATAGCACCCAGCTTTTGATTCCCATGTGATTTTATTTTAATGAAGGTATTAGGGAAAAGGGACATTTTCTAACCCTTTATGAAATGGTATTTGAGAACTTTTCCAGGAAACTTGAAATCAGTGTTGAATGAATCAGAAAGGAAGCAAGTTAAACTTTACTGTTTTAGTGGACATTTAAGTAGAAATCAGCTTTTCCAAATTATAGCTGAAGGAAAATTTGGAGAGAGAACCTTCTTTTGTGTGTGGTAGTTCTTCTGAGGCTAATCTGGAGTAGGCTACAGAGGATGAGGTTTTGGAAATTACTTCACACTTGTATTTCGGTGTCTTATTTTATACTTTTCATTTTTTCTCAGTGAAATTAAACTCTAAACTGCATAGCTATTTCTGAGAAGTTAAAATTCTTTGCTACTGATTGCCTTTAAAATAGTAACCAGTTGTGATTCCCTGGCTACTGAGGTTTAATATTCACTGTAATTTGCAAATAGCCTTCATTTTGTTTAATATTTAAATTGCTAGGAATTATTTTTATTAGTATGTTCTGTAGTCTTTGATAGAGGTAACATAATAAAATAAAGTTCTCACCCACACGTTAGTATTCTTTTCTGGTGTTTGGTGTGTTGTTTTGTTGTTGTTGTTTTTGTTGGAGGTTTTTTGGAAGAGAGCTGTGATGCATTAAACTTTGGAAGTCTCACTACTTTTTTTTTTTAGTATAAATTGTGTTTAGAGTTGACACTCTTGGGATTTGCATCATCTTCAGTGTTAGTGTTCTGAAATAAAATTATCACAGTTTTAGTCCTTTCATTCTTCATCGGATTACACTTTTTACTGGGATTTCAGTCATTGCTTATACAAGCTATACATGTGCTGAAAAACCTTCCTTTAACAAAACTGATGTTATTTTCAACGTTCACTGATATTTAAATTCTAGTGAAAAGTAGGTATTTTGGTATTGAATATCAGCAGTATATTCATCCTTATCTACAAGATTTATTAGAAATCTTATGTGGAAAACCAAAAGCATGAATTCCCTAAAGCTCTGTGTAGTACAGGTGACCCACTGGTTTGTGCAGGTGTTCATTCAAATGATATGCCACACATCTGCTCTTTTTCCTCCTGTTTCCTTTCTTAGCTCCTTCTGAACTTGCTTGTTACAATGTCTTGTGTTTTATTCTGGCTGCCATCTCTTCTTTCTCAGTACTTGTGTATCCATACTGTTAGAGGTGTTAAGTGGCTGAATTAAATGTCCTTTCAATAGCTTGTGTATGTTTATTGCACCCTAATTGACTTGTGAGAACTTGTTTGAGTGTTTCTGTTATCACATCCAAATCTTGATTCATTTCTTCTTAGAAGTGGTGCACCGTCTCCAAAGAGGACATCCATTAGCACAAGATCCTCAGCGAGGGGCAGCAGAGATCGTTTTACTGGTGAATCATACACAGTGTTGGGTAAGATGAACTTTTCACCTCTGCTAGACATGTAATGCAGTGGAAGGGCAGATTAGGTAAGAATTTGAGGGAAAATTTGTGATAATTCAAGGCTCTGTACTCAATGCTGTCCTGCACAGAGGTTGTTTTGCTTTTGTAACACCAGTTTCATGCTACAGTGGGTGTCTTCGAGTCTTTTGAACCTCTTCATTACAAAGCTCTTAGTGTCTGACATTCACTGCTATTAAATGTGAATTGATGTCAATATATCTCATATCAGTGAGTGTAAGTAAAAACTCATTCTATTTTCTTGTAGATTAATTATTTTTGTTCTGTATAGTTCAGATATTTGTATTTCTAAGCCTTTTAAGTTAAAATAAAATGGAGAAGAGATCACTGGTGAGGAAGCAAGCATTGTAAGGTACACTTAATTATAGCAACTAAACGTTTCGAGGGGTTTTTTTTGTTAGGAGACACTGCTGTTGAAGATGGACAGCATTACTGGGAAGTCAGAGCCCAGAAGGACTGCAAATCCTACAGTGTGGGAGTAACATATAAAAACCTGGGGAAATTTGACCAACTGGGAAAGACTAATTCAAGCTGGTGCATCCATATCAACAACTGGCTGCAAACTACATTTTCAGCAAAACATAATAATAAAACCAAGACTCTAGATATACCTGTTCCAGACAGAATAGGAGTATACTGCGACTTTGATGGAGGTAAATGACAGTCTTATGAGATTTGGCTAACAATTTAGTTACCTGCCCGTGACAATTTGAAGCAGTACAATGCTAATGTACATTACTTCCAGATTGTTAGTCTCTTTTGAAAATAAGGACCAGAGCTGTTTGTGTAATAGTGCTTGTAATGTCAAAGGACCTGGGTTCAACTGTGTGACAGAGCTGCTTCAGTCCTGTGGACTGTATTTAGTGTGTTCTGGAAACCTGTCTCTAGAAAAGAATAAATTTTACAAGAAGTTACACATATAGCCTTTAAAGGCAACAATAGCCTTTAAACGTGTATTTCAACTTGTTTCCTGACTCTTTTAGGTGAGTTTGCATTTTATAATGCAAACGCAAAGGAGCTGTTACACACCTTCAGAACAAAGTTTACCCAACCATTACTGCCTGCATTCACAGTAAGTATCTAAAATTTTGATTGGTTTCTAGGACTGAATTTATTTTACTGAAGACTTTTCTTTTTTAAGGAGGAAACTTGGAGCACTGGTTTTGGCTGACTAATAACTTTTTTAAATGTTTAACTGTTTTCTTTTTTATTTCAACTCATGCTTGTAATAGCACACCAGTAGGGGAATTCTGCGCGTGGATGTCTCAGCTATGTAAATAAAAGTAATTAAATTTTTGTAGGGTAAATTAATAGCACATTCTGGTAGCTGGTGAGTCTGCTACAATAATTGACCTGAACTGATGCAGATAGGAGCCCAGGAAGCTGTGAGCTGTCAGAGCAAGTGTCATGAGACAGAACACCACCAGATGCTTCTCTCTGAGATGCAAGATTCTAGCTTTCTAATCTTAGAAAGCTCAGTGGAATTTTCTTGCCAGTCACTTCACTAGTCTGCATAGCCTTTTTCTGGCTCTAAGCTAATCGGTGAAAACTTGCTATAATTCTAAGGACTCAAATCTTGCAAAATATACCTGGGAAAATGGTTTGTTACTGCATGTTCATTTTCCTGTAAGGGTTTAAGTAATTCATTTAAGTAGCTAAATTTGGAGGCCCCAGCTGCGTTATAAGGTGCCACCAAGTGCATCATGCTTTGGGAGCAGGGTATAGAGCTGGGCAAACTTAGGAATCTGAGGGAGGTTAGCATACTAGTTCACACTAAAAGCTCAGCAGCCTAGGCACTGATATTCAGCTCTTGTAATTCCACACACAGAAAGCACAGAATGGTAATTTTAAAGTGTGATCAGGCCAATTAATTAAGTTATTCTTCCATTGAAATGACAAAGTAGTAACTTGCCCAGGCAGCTTTACAACTAACATATCCAAACACCTAATTTTTCACTTGTATCTGGCAGAATTCCTTTCACAATTTCTATTGTTGGCTAGATGTACAGATACTAGGAGTCTAGATTTTCAGTAGCTGTTTATTGGGAGGTGACTAAGCTAGTTGTCTTACCAATCCTTTGCAACATATGGCGAACAGAATAGCTTCAGATCTGTTGGGATATATGCCTGAGTCGTCCCTCTGACTCTTGAATGTATACCTTGGGAAGGCTCACTCACAAAGTCTGTTCTGAAGGCATCCAAGGAAACATTTGCTTACCACACTTAGCATATTAGTCTATATCTCTTACAGCCACTACTGTGAGAGATGCATTCTTTCATGTAATCAGTTGTAGAATAGAGGTCACTGACACCTGTGCCCCTGAAACTTCTCAAAATTTAATTTTTTTAGTTTTTTGTACTATGCTTACATTGACATAATTCTGCCATGTCATACCAAAAATAAGCACTGCTTTCAGACACGGGAGTATAGTGAGTATATTGCTTTTCATTGTCAGTCTAAGTGCTTGTGGCCAGCACATCAGTCTTCAAAGTTTTCCAACTAGGAGCAAGTCTTTTAGCATTATATCTTAGACTTGGTTATAAATTTAGAGTCATAAAGCATAGTATGTGAGCATCTTTGAATTTATGGTCTTAAAAATTAGCTTGTGTATCATTAGGATGTTTTACAAAATGCTGTGACTAGAAAGCAAGAGAGAAGAAAAATGCAGCTGTAGGATAAGTTTCATGTTAACTGCATTGTGGAATGCTTCAAAATATTAAGATTATTGATTTTATTTTTTTTTCTCCCTTAGGTGTGGTGGGGGGGACTTACAGTGAGTACTGGATTGCAGGTGCCAACATTTGTGCATGTGCTACAGAAAAGTAAAAATGATTTTAACGCCTGAAACAGCTTAAATGATACTCAATAGAAATATAGTGGTCTGTTAAACATTTCTGTTGGTTTTTTTTTTCGGTGTAGCTGCTGCTCACAGAAGCTTGTGAGTATTGGATTAAACTGGTTTTGCTACCTACTGCTGTTTTAAGGCTTGGGTACCAATAGTGCAAAGGTTTGGATCTAAAGTGTTAGGAACGTACTGTGAATCCAGACAGAAGTGTCAGACAGAAAATTGAACTGTTGCCTATTTGAAAAATAAGTGGGGACATCAAAAACTGTAACTGTGTACTTTTCTAATACTGTATTTTAGTATTTTGTTACGGACTTTAAAATTAATTTTGTTATGAATATTATTTTTTTGTGAAGAATGTAAGTTTCTTAGCTCTTCTAACATGAATTACATTAATTACTTGGCTATATAATTTATTAATGGGCTTCCCATTAGAACTTGTGATATTGAACATGCACCTCAAAATAACTGATTTGCTAGCTTAGCCTGGAAAAATATCACAGCAGTATGATTTCAAAAGAATATTATAAAAAGTTGTAGGAAGAAACACTAAGAGCAGTTTGTGAGTTTTTTTTGTAATACAAAATTCTCCTATTTCCCCTGAGTAACTCACTGAAACATATATTTAGAGTTTAGCTCCCTGTTTATTATGAGTTAGAGGAAATGTAAAAATTTAAAGGTATTTTAAGATATTCTTATATTCTTAGTGAATGCACATTATGATAGCCAGCCATTGAGCTAGGAAGTATTTCAGCTAAGAGGTTCAAAACCAAAAATGCAGAGCTTTTTGAAAGCTACAGCATAGCACTGCTTTCTGAGAAGCTCTTAATTTTGGGTCATGTCTTGGCATTCTGGTTTTGTGTCATTATTCCAATTGGATTCTAGTAATCAGCAATTCACGTTGTTCATCAGATGCCAATGAGGAATTGAATCGTTGTCTGCACATAGCAAAGCTGCAATGTAGCCGAGGCTGCAAACAAGGGTGTGAGAGCTTCAGTCTAAATGTGTCTCTCCAGTGGAGATGGCAGGTGCAGGGGCTATTGCTAAAACATCTTTCAGCTTTTTCTCAAGCTAGCTACAAGGCTAAAACTATTCAAACAGCTTTGTCATATCAATGCTGGCTTTGAGCAGAAGCAGCACTAAATTCCTGGTGATAGGGCAGTACCCTCTGAGCCTAGGCACACATTTTTGCTACCTGTTTTGACTAGCATAGTGAGGATTCCTGGAATTTTCTGGATAACAGAGAAATCCAAAAACTGCATGATTTCTTTATCCAGCAGAAATGTAGCTTATACATACAGCATCCTACTCTTAGTGTGCTAGCTTGTACTATATGCCATGTATATGTGGCTATGAGACTGGCTTTCAAAGGATCATATTCTAAAGGATCTCTTTGTAGGCTCCAACTTAACACCTACCCCTTTTTTAAGGGCAAGGGAAGAGTGGAAAATGAGAAAATGCTTTGCCAGCTAACACACGATCTTATTTTGGATCTGCAGTTGTACATTTTTCTTCACAAATCAAGTGAAATCTTGTTGTGTCATCTCGACTCTTAGTAGTGATAGTTGAATAATTCATATTAGTGAGTGAGCTAAAAAAACCACCACGAACAACATGTTACATTCTTTGAGGAAAATCTCAACTTTTCACTGAGAATTACTTGTGTATTATAAACTGTTTAAATCTGCTTTCTTCCCTCTAATCAAGTCCAGGAGCCTAAAATTAATTTTCAGTTACAAACTTGATCCAGCTGTTTCCTAACTGAGGATTTTTCCTAATATAACCTGAAAACCTTTTCAAAGTCATGCTGATAGGGTCCATCTTGAATTGGCTCCTTTCCTACAGGCCAAAGTATTTTTTCTTCTATGTATCTTTCAGTCTGTAAAAACATGACCATCTAATCATGTTAAATCTTGCTACTATGAATGAGTGCTTTGTGTCTGTCAGGATTTCTTAAGAGGAAGAGGAATTCCTTGAAACAACTCATAATAAACTGGTTATGATGTTAAGTGGAAAACTTAAATTTTAATCCCTGCTCGAGAAAGTTTTGTTTCTCTTGAGAAATCATGAGATCGATGGGACAGTTGAGCCCTTAATGTTAATATAATATCTGGAATTTGAGCATCTCTAAATATTTGCATTGTGAACAAAGTTATAATCTCTTTTGCAGAGGAAAATGCAAAACCATTCCCAGTTTAACTGTACCTTACTTGGTCAGTTTAGTGTTTTGAGTCTTGAAACAAAGATGCTGGAAGGTGACGTTTCTTAAATGTAGAACATCTGAATATGTTTATCTGTACATCATACATTTTCTATGGATGTTGTTATTATCCAAATAGTCTATGTAGTTATCTTAAACACTTATTCCTCACTTCTTTCCTTTTTTATGGTGGTCAACACATGACTGGCAATTCTAGGGGCTCAGCAGCTATGAATTCAGTGGTATGTAAGGGAGTGAGACTTGCATGCTTGGACCCTGGTGGTGGTTAGGGAGAGGAGGGATAGGGTGGATACTGGTTTTGAGACTTGTTCTCTTGAATGACTGTGTAAGCAGACATAAATAGGCTAGTGCCTGTTCACAGTGCTTGGTCATCGGCTTGATCTTGGAGATTCAGCTACAGTTCCTGTTTAAATTTCCCTTTTTGGAAAGAAAGGAAATGTTTACAGTAAGATAATGTGTAGTGAGAAGAAACCATGAGTAATCTCCAGCCCTACAGAGCGTTTAAATTACAGAGGGGTTTTTAGCAAGATGTAGTGTAACCTGCAAGGTCAATTTGATATGCACAGTGTAAAAATGTAATTTTTCTTTAACATTTAGAAGAAAGCTTGAAGTATTTCATTCTGTGACTGCTGACTTGCAAGTTTTAGTTTGATGTCCTAGATGAACTTAACATGTGACTTTTTACCCTTAAAAGTAATTTGTAATATAATAGTTTGCACAGATGTAAAATTTTTGCTGCTAACAGTTAGTCCAATTGTTTTAAGTAAATGGGGATATGCAGAATTGCCTTAAGCACTTTTAGACTTTTTTTTAGACTCTTCTGAGCTAATGTCTGCCTAGTACCAGTGTATTGGTGATACTTTGTTGCAGTTGGTGTACTGTTTGTACCTGCACCTAGAGGGGGATGCATGCAGCCTGTGAAGTTACTTTTTCTTGGGGGAATGCACTCGATGGACTGGAGGGGTGGTTCTTCAGCAATCAGTTGGACCTTTTGAAGGTCTGTAGTTTTGCCCAATGGTTAAATATTCCTGGTGACTTTTATACTCCCTGATCCTCTCTGCTCTGGAGTTCATGCTCTTTGGTGGCTAGACAGGAGTTTTCTTCTGTATGACCAAAATGAGGTGATTTTGTGCTTTCTGGGTGGGGGTTGGGGGATTGTGTGTGTGTTTCAAAAATACTGATTACTGGTAGTCTTTCAGAGTTAAAACAACTTCCAAATAACTTGTAAGGAACTGAAGTTCCCATGAGTTCTTAATATAGCAGAAAACTGTAGCATTCATTGTTTCTATGGAAAGCTGTATGAACTGCAGCAAGGGATGTGAATTTCAAAAAGGATGATTTAAAAGCATCCAGATGATAGGTGCTTCTTCAAATACAAAATATGGATAGCAGAGCATGCCAGGTTTATTTCTTTAGCCATCCTCTAAGCAGAAAAAGTACAAATCCTATTTCCTCCCCCTTGCACTCTCCCACCTTACTGCTGTTTCATGCTAAGGCAGACTGGCGAAAGGAACGGGTTGCCTCGGGAGGAACACCTGACTTAGCAGTATTTTCGCCTGATAAGGATCACAGGTTGCGAATGTGACTGTTTGACAGACGACTACAGTGAGTTCTGCTGATCACCCCCCCTCCAGCCTCACCGGAACAGCCTGAACGCCCTGTTGGAAGGAGAAGCCTGGATGCTGTTTTCCCTCACCATGGTGGGCGCTAGGCTGAGCAGGGGTGG